GGGGCGGAGCCTGCGTGGGAGGGGGCGCGGCTGCAAGGGGGTGTGGCGCGACGTGGCGTGCGCTAACTCCGTGGGACTTGGGACCGCGCTTCTACCCACTCACGCCGGCCCTCAAGCGCGTCTGGCTTCTCACCAGAGGTAGGCGGGCGGACCCTCCCGCAAGACTATGGCCACGCCTTCTCGGTTAGAGGGACAGCGTGGGGGCGTGGCTCGGACGGGATCTGACAATGACCGGCATCTGGCTCGACCAATGAGTGCACAGAATACCAATAGGTGCTGGCCACGCCTCGCCCCGGAAGGAGGGAGAGAAGGAGTGTGAGGAGGGGGTGGGAGATCGGTCGCCACGGGTTGTGGCGTTAAGTTCTGTAACTGTTAGTAAGTCTAATCATGGAGGAGTTGGAGGCAGCTGATGAGTCTACTGTATGCCAGGCCGTGGAGTCGGCGCCGCGCGATATAATATTCGTTGTCAAATATTTTTTTAATATATTTTATTGATTTTTTACAGAGAGGAAGGGAGAGGGATAGAGTTAGGAACATCGATGAGAGAGAAACATCGATCAGCTGCCTCCTGCACACCCCCTTCTGGGAATGTGCCTGCAACCAAGGTACATGCCCTTGACCGGAATCGAACCCGGGACCCTTCAGTCCGCAGGCTGACGCTCTATCCACTGAGCCACACCGGTCAGGGCGTCAAGTATTTATTGAGGACCAGTCTGCCGCACAAATGGGAATCCTGGGAAGCGCTGCCCTCACGATCACCCCGTCCAGTGCAGCCGACCTAACACTCGACTCGGGAGGAGAGGGTGGTCGGTGGGAAGAGTAAAGCGGCCGAAAGCCACTGAGCCTCTGATCTGGCAATCCCATCCCTAAGAATCTGAAGGAAAGACATTCCCCACCCAAACCCACTGGCGCAAAGATGTTGCGCTTGACAGCACCGCTCGTCAGAGCACAACCAGAAACAGCCCAGGGAGCACCGCCAAACGGCCGGAGCAGATTAAGGCGTGCACGAAACGCCAGTGCAGCCCTCAGAAGGATGAGCTAGAGCTGTATGCAGTGTGATAGAATGACCTCCGGAAGAGTGCGCTGGAAGAATAAGGTACAGAGCACGGCAGGGCAGGAGGAAGACTTGTTTTTCATTCCACGTCCTATTGTATTATTTTAATTTTCTACTAGATCAAGCTAAAAATGTAGGCTTTTCAACCCCGCCCCAAGAAAAGAGATAAGGATTTGCACACAGCGACTGAGGAGGCCCCGACCCGCTGTTGAGGGAGTTGCTGGTCCTCCCTGGCTTTCTGAAGAGTTGTCTCCAGAGCGGAGTCCCCAAGGGTGCGAGGTGCAGCTGCCCGATCAAAGGTGAACACCTGTGAAAGGTGAAGGCCCCGGGAGGGTGGGGCAGTGTAAGCAAGGGGAGTTTCGTGTTGAGGGCACGCCCCGCGCAGGGCAGAGTCCAGGAGGGGTGGGCCATATTCAGCTAATGCAGGGTCTTCGTCACCCTGGGAAGGAGTTGGGCTTAAAAAGGACTCGGGGTTCTCTCTCACATTGAAGTTTCTCTCTCCCTCCCTCTCCCTTCCGCTCTGAAATCAGTAACAATATATATTTTTAGATATTCTCTCAATGTCTGTGGGTCAGAAACCCAGGTGTGGTAGTGCAACCTCATCTGCATGCTCAACTCGGGGGAGGTCCCCTCCCAAGCTCACTCGCTGGATTGTTGCCCCCCCACCCCCACCCCTCATCAAAGGCTCTTCACTGAGCTGCCTCACAGCATGGCAGCTGGCTGCGCCCTGATTGAGTGAGCTCAGATAGAGCCAGGAAGAACACGCGTGGCAGAAGCCACGTGTTTTTTATAACTTAATCTCCAAAATGGCAGCCCATCACTTCTGCTGAACTCCAGCAGAAGCCAGTCACAAAGTCCAGCCCACGCTGATGACAGGGTACTACGTAAGGACAAGAATGGCAAGATGCAGGGATCACTAAGAGCATCTGGAGGCTGCCTCCCGAGGAGGCACGCACGGGATTGTCCTCAACCCAGTAAGGAGGGGCAGAAAGCTGGAAAGTGCCTGGGCCCCCACAGCATTGCTGCAAAGCTACCCTGATGATGGCCTGCATCCCTCGGGGAAATAGCTCAAAACAAGCCAGCCCACACCCAGGTTGTGTCTCTCTCACATGTCTCTCTCTCTCTCTTCCCCTCCCTTACACTCTCTCTTTAAAAAATCAATGGAAATAAATAATCCTGAGGTGAGGATTTAAAAAGATTTTTAAAGAATAACATCGAATCTTAGTGAGAGGGAGTATAAAATGGTGTAATCATTTGGGGAAAATGAAATATACACACAGCCTACGACTCAGGTTCTCCAATTGTAGGTGTTTATCCAAGAGAAATGTAAACACATGTCCACAAAAAGACTCTGCAATAGTCATAACAGCTTTATTCATAAAAGGCTACATAGGATCACTGTAAAATTCAAGTATTTTATATGTTTGAACATTTTCATCAGAGAAAACAAAACCTACTTATTTAAATGACTGTTCATTTGGTTTTTAATTACTTGCTGTCAAATTTTCTACAAAGTGGATGAAACTGGCCCTCGCACTTATTTATTCATTGAACAAACATTAACAGGTGTGTACTATGTACTAGACCAAGTATGTCAAATTCAAAGGCTAACACGGGCCAAATAAACAAGGTTTAAGTTTATGTGGGCTGCAAAAGAGCAAAAACTTCAATTTTCATAGAAACATAGGTTTATTTCAATAGAGACATGTTGAATACAAAGGGCTGAAATAAATGAGTCATCGTTAATAGAACATTTTCATAAAAATTAATATTTTTCTTGAACATTAACTTACCAGACAACGAATAACTGCACAAATTAATAAGCATAATGCAAATAAACCTATTTTTCTTGTTCTCCGAAAGTGAAATATTTCCCGTTGCGCACACCAAACAAGTCAGTCCAAGACTAATGACATGGCAATCGGCTGCTAAAAAATTCGCTGCTGCCCTAACTGGTTTGGCTCAGTGGATAGAGCATCGGCCTGCGCACTGAAAGGTCCCAGGTTCGATTCCCGGTCAAGGGCATGTACCTTGGTTGCAGGCACATCCCCAGTAGGAGGTGTGCAGGAGGCAGCTGATGTTTCTCCCTCATCGATGTTTCTAACTCTCTATCCCTCTCCCTTCCTCTCTGTAAAAAATCAGTAAAATTTAAAAAAGAAAATTCGCTGCTCATATTAGTGGAGAGAAATGGCGCATAAGGGAGATGAATACAACACGATCATAGTAATCAGTCATTATCGAAAGTTGTAGCTCATTATTAATTATGTGTAACAGGATATTGTAAAAATTAACTTACAAAATTTTATTAAAGCGTTTCTTACAGACCGTTATATTGGCTGGGCCGCAAAAATATTCATTGTGGGCTGTATGTAGCCGGCGGGCCGCGAGTTTGACATGCCTGTACTAGACCTGTGCCCTTGACGGGTATGATCATATAAGCAAAAACTCAGCCCCTGCTGTTGTGAACCTTATAATCTAGCAGAAAAGACAGACAGACACACATTATCACACAAATAAATATATTATGACCATGATCACATTATGCAGGAACAATACTGGGATTCTTAGGCCATCGTCAAGGGGACCTGACCTGGGGTGGGGGCAGGGCAACCAGGAAGACTTCCTGGAGGAGAAGTGCATGATGGGTAGAGTTAATAAGGTGAAGAGGAACAGCAAACATTCAGACAGAAAGCACTCCAGGAGCAAAGCAGCTGAGGTCAAAGGAAGGGAAGGAGGCTGAAGCACTCTGCACCTGGGCTTCTGCTCGGCCGACTCCTAAGCATCTTTCACACACACACACACCACACACCACACACACACACACCACACACACACACACCACACACACACACACACCCACACAATCACACACACACATGCACACACTCACACACACACACACCCAAACACACCACACATACAGTCACACACACACACTCACACACACACACACACACACACACCCGCGCGCGCGCACGCTCCCTGGTTGCGCCACATCCCTCCCGGGAAGAAGCCGCAGTCCTCAGAGCAGCTGTGGCTTTGGCTCCTGATGCCTTCCCATCTCTGGGCTCTGCCGGGATTAGGAGACGATCAGGTGAACCATATGCAATTGCCTTTTTGTAGGTCAAAATGAAAATGTTATATTTTTTGAGAAAAACAACAGCTTCATTCAACCAAAATTTACACAAATAGTATGAGCTGCTTTCTCCCAGTGATAAACTTCCCCCCAATATTAAATGATATACTACATTTATAAAATCCAGTCTTGTTAAGACATTCACTTCCTTCAATTCCTGCTTCTCAACCAGAGAATGTTCTGTGTCTTAGTTACAAATGACAAAGGAGGGGGGAATCTGTTTTAAAAGGCCAGGTGAGTCTGATGGACGCACTAAATTCCTTTGCCTCCTGATGGCGGTCTGTGACGTCTGCGGTCCACTGTTGTCCTGGGCAGGTCAAGTCCACGTCTGCGGACCAACGCAGAGTGCTGTAGAGCGCCTGGGTCCGTGAGTTCCGCTGCTGGGCAATGTGAGCTCGTTTAAGCAGGGAAAGCAGTTCGGGCGAGCACGCAGTGTTGAAACACCCGGTGTGCACACACACACACAGCCCACCCCCCGACCCCCGTTACCAGATCCTCTTTTGGTAGAAGGAAGGTTTTAACACGTTGGGGAACTTCATCAACATCCAGCCACTGTCCAGACCCCTTTCCCTTTCATTGCTGTCACTGAGGACGCTCTCATAGGCTCTGCTCTTCCAGATCTTAAGGGCGAGCGTCTCTCCCACCGCCTGTTCGTGATCATCCATCAGCTGCTGTCACCCACTTGTCCAACTTTTTCACCTTCCCCATGGCAGCCAGGTGTCGAGAAATGGTGGTGGCAGAAACGCCCAGGTCTGCGGCGAGGCCCCGGATGGCGCTCTTGGGGTTCGCTTCCACCATGGCTCGCAGCTCGTCTTCATTGAGGACCGACCTGGGTCTCCCGCGAGGCTCATTCTTCAGACTCAGGTCCCCAGAACGGAACTTCTCAAACCACCACCGGACGGTCCTTTCGCTCACGGAGCCTTCTCCGAAGACGGAGACGAGGTTTCTGCTGGCCGTGGCTGCGCTGTGTCCGAGTTTAAACTCGTATAAGAAAAGTATTCGCAAATCTTTCAAAGACATGGTATTGCTCACTTCTGTGGAGAAAATAAACAATAAAAGCTCAACCATCAAAGACGACTGCGGAGCACGCCATCATCGTGACCCCGAAACAACACAAGCGCACAGGCCCGACACCTACTTCGCCATCAGTTACGCTGCGGCCGGAAGCGGCAGCACTCTCATTCAGGGGGCAAGTTTGGATCACCGTTTCTGTCAGGTGGATGTTACGTTTCAGTCTTTTCGTTTTCCCATAGGAACCAAATTGCCAGTAATTTTATAAGCATCTACCATAGAAAACATTATTTTGAACTAAAGTATGAGTTGTGCTGTGAGATCCAGGAACTCACGCCTTCTGTTTTTTCCGTGCTGCCAAATTAGGGTCGCAGATCAGCCTGATGCTTGGAACATCCTCCCAGGACGGGCTGATGAATGCCTGCCCCTTAGGCTCGGGCAGGGTTTTAGGTCTTCCTCTTCCCTGTGCAGACGGTCTGAATGGCCGCCACTGCCCGGCCTCTCTATCCTCTCTCAGCTTCTCTAATTCACTGCTCTTGGCTTCATACTTAGTTTTGGTGTAGACGAGTAAAAATAATGCACTTTAGGGACGTGAAAGAACCGTTTGCCTAAGTTTGCACCCCACCCCGGCAGTCGCGTCTTTTACGTGTTTTAAATGGCACTATAGTCCATTGCCCAGTGCATTGTTTAAAACACAACCATAACACTCCTTTCCTAAACTCACCGAAGGTTTTTTTTAAAAAAAAAAAGGAAGAGAGACTCAGCAGAATTCCATTCTGGACAGTGTTTGGGGGAAATCGTAGGGGAGTAAGGAGGAAGATTTCTCTTTCAACAGCTTTAATCCCAGCCCATATGTAATAGTGTCAACAATTTTTAAACAGGGGGAGGAAGGAGGAGAGAGAGAGAAACATTGATTGGCTGCCCTGACTGGGAATAGAACCGGCGACCACAAAGTACACGGGACGATGCTCAATTGAGCTACACCAGCCAGGGATCAATAGACTTTTAATATTATAACTTCAGCAGCAGAAAAAAAAAATTAACTAACAAAAATTAATTTTTAATCTATATAACAAAAACCATAAAAGCTGAAAAGATGGTAAACTTGCAATTACCTGTAAAAGGTGATGATTTATCTGACTGTTTTACTTTTAGGAGTTTTCTATTAATAAATATATAACCACAGGGACAAGATTTACATGCAACAGGAACCTGGAGGGGAAAAAAGAGAAAATATATATTACATTTTACTATTTATTAGGCTTCTCAAGTGTTTCTGTGGTTTCTTCAACGAAATGATAAGTAACCTGAAGGAAGAAATCACATTTATATTTAAATTCTACCTCCTCATATGAACTGAGATAAGACTCACATCTAGCCCTAGCCAGTTTTTCTCAGTGGGTAGCACACTGGCCTGTGGACTGAAGGGTCCCAGGTTCAATTCCAGTCAAGGGCACGTACTTCAGTTGCAGGCTCCAGCCCTGGCAGGGGCCCGTGCAGGACGCAACCACTTGATGTGTCGCTCTCACATGGATGTTTCTCTCTCTCTGTCTCTCCTCTCCTTTCCACTCTCTCTAAAAATCAATGCAAAAATATCCTCGGGTGAGGATTAACAACAACAAAAAATCACATCTATTCTCCTCGTCCTCTACAGTTCCATGAATATAGCAAATGTTTAATAATGCTGAATGTGAAGGGCAAAAATAATTTCCTAAAAGGTCAGTGTCAGAATAGTTACAAAATGGATTAGTCTAGAAGAAAGGAACTGGTTTAGGAAATTATTACATTATCCCAGCATGAGAGGCTAGTGGCCTCTCTACTATGCTGGCAGGGGGAATGTATTTTTTTTAAGTATACATTTAACAAACATTCCAAAGGAAGAAAAGAATAAGACTTAGATACAAAATGATTACTGATGATAAAACAGGACTGAAAATTAGTCTAAAAGTTGGAGCAGGATGGGGAAGAGGGCCAGACACTAACAAGTTGAAAGAAAAAAATAAAAAGAAACACCACTGTGGGATGACAGAAACACACACACGCACACGTGCGCACGCACACACACTCTATTAAAAACATATAACCACAGTTATCCTACATAATAAAAGGCTAATATGCAAATTGACCAAACAGTGGAACCAGGGGTCACTATGATGTGCACTGACCACCAGAGGGGAGACGCTCAACGCAGGAGCTGCCCCCTGGTGGTCAGTGCACTCAGCCAGAAGCCAGGCTCACAGCTGGCAAGCGCAATGGCGGCAGCACTAAGGATGTCCGAGGTGAGAGGGCACAGGGGGCTGGGCTGAGGAACGCCCCCCACCCGCCGCGCCCCCGCCCCCCAGTGCACGAATTTCATGCACTGGGCCTCTAGTATATACATATCTGCCTCTGGTTCCTGGCAGCTCCCACAAGCCTTGCGATCTCATAAGAGTACTAGGAGCATCTTCTGTCCAATGTGTGGTCTTTGATCCCAATTCCTGATGCAAAGTCCCTAAATCCCTTGGCATTTCCTGGGTGACACAATGTCTCTCACCTTTCACGACAAAACACTGCACCATGAGAAACAGAAGGGAACTTCCTCCACATGATAAAATGAACTTATGAAAAGCCCACAACTAACATCATACTCAGTAGGAAAGATTGAAACCTTTCTTCCCTATTCCAGGAACAAGACACCCATATCTGCTTCTGCTGCTTCTATTCAACATTGTAATGGAAAGCCAGAGAAAGTAGGCAAGAAAAAGAAGTTAAAGGCATACACATTGAAAAAGTGAAGTAAATCTATTTCCATTCACAGGTCACATGACCTTCTATATAAGAAATCCTAAATAAACACACACACAATATTAGGGCTAATGAAGGAATGCAGCAATGTTGCAGGATACAAGACAAACAAAAATCAGTGTTATTTCTATACACTAGCAATAAACAATCCAAAAAAATGGAATTAAGAAAATAAGTCTATGTATATGACCATCAAAAAATAAAATAATTAGGAATAAACTTAACCAAAAAGATGCATGACTTGTACACTGGAACCTCAAAATCACTGCTGAAAAATTAGAGACCTAAATTAATGGAAAGACAGTCATGTTCATGAATTGGAGGACTCAATGGTGTTCATCATTCCAGATCAGTCTGCACAGACCCAACACAATCCTTATCAACAGCCCAATGGCCTTTCCTCCGCCCCACCCTGGACATGGAAAAGCTAATTCAAAAATCCCCATGGATCTGAAAAGCCAAAACAGTCTTAAAAGAGAAAAAAACAAAGTTGGAAGACTCACATTTCCTGACTTCACAACTTACTACAAAGGTACAGCAACCCAAGCGGAGCACTTGGAGGGAGCGTGAAAGTCACCACTTGGACGCAGAACAAACTGAAACGTCAACACCTCTTCTCAGCTCCGTGAGAGAAGCGGGGTGCCTGGCAAACGAGGGCCCCTCCCGTTGGACAGACGGGTGAAGACAGACACTCTCAACTTACCAAAGCGGAAATTCAGAGTCAGGCAGGAAAAACTCAACTGGAAGGGCGGGCACACTGCTGGAGGCTCCGCGTGGACAAGTCTGAGAGTTCAGACTCCAGCGAGACCCAGTCCCAGGACGGTCCCCACACTTTTGTGAGTTTTCCCTCCAGGAGTGCAACTGGGTTCCCACAGCGAGACTCCGGGGGAACCTCCCGCCTCTGCAGGGAGGGGAAGCAACTTCTTGGACACACACCAGACAGCTCGCCAGACAAGCAGAGAGGACACAGAACCGCCAGGCCAGTGTGGCGCAGCTCATTGAGCTCCCACCCAGGCACCCAGAGGTCAAGCCTTCGATCTGGTCAGGGCACAGGCCCAGGTTTTGGGTTTGAGCCCCAGCAGGGGGCGTGCAGGAGGCAGCCAATCAATGATTCTCTCTCATCATGGATGTTTCTCTCTAACTCTCTCTCTCCCTTCCTCTCTGAAAACAATAAAAATATATTTTTTAAAAAAGTTTTTAAAAGAGGCAGCCGATTGAGGATTCTCTCTCATAGATGTTTCTATCTCCTTCTCCCATCCTCTCTCTAAAATCAATAAAAACATATTAAAGCCTTAGCCGGTTTGGCTCAGTGGATAGAGCGTGGGCCTGCGGGCTGAAGGGGGCGCGCAGGAGGCAGCCAATCCATGATTCTCTCATGATCATCATTGATGTTTCTCCCTCTCCCTTCCAATCTGAAATCAATAAAAATCTTTTTAAAAAACCTATTAAAAACAAAAAGATTAACAGAACTCCTCCAAAGACCGAAGAAGGAGCTGGTTTCGCCGCTCCCGGCGCCCCGGCCCCGCCGGCCTGCAGGGTGGAAAGGCACCCGTGTTCCTAGGAGACAAGGTGGTGGCAGGACCCCGGCCACACCCCCGCTGGTGACCAGCCTGACGTCGGCGTCCCCAACCACAGCAAACCCGTTCCCTGCACACCCGGACGCCGGCCTGCCGGTGAGCTGGACACAGGACCTCCCCAGCCACCGGCGCTCTCGCCACCGCGAGCCCCGTTATGTCTCCACCGGCGCCGTGGGAGGAGGCCCTGCAGCGCTGAGCATCCCGGGGCCCAGGGGCGCGGCGGGGACAGTGGGGTCCCGGGTCCGATGGGAACAAAGCC